TATGTATACTTGAATTATTTCTAAATGCCCTAATGCCTCTTTTTTTATCAATTCAAAACCATATATTTCTTATTAATTCAAAACAACCATATATATGTATATGTGGTATATGTATACATGTATGTATACCATATATATGTATATGTGGTATATGTATACATGTATGTATACATATATACATATATACATATGTATATATACATGTATATATATGCATATATGTGGTAATATGTATATATATGGTATGTATATATGTGGTATATGTATATATATACATATGTATATGTATATATATACATATGTAATGCATATGTATCTATGTATATGTACATAAGTATATATATACATATACCACATATACATATATATATGGTTGTTTTGAATTAATAAAAAATATATGGTTGTTTTGAATTGATAAAAAAATAGATAGGCATTAGGGCAGTTTAGAAATAATTCAAGTTTATATGAACTCTACAGTAAGGTTTCTGAACAGAGGAGGGTCAAGTTAAATAATCCTCTGTTGACAGGAAATGTCAGAGCCAACCAAGGCATCATACTTAAAATACGTTTAGTGCAGGTCAGATGTTCCAAATCATGCCGACTTTTTTTTTTTTTTAATGTGTTGCTGTTTTACCATCTGAGGGCTTTCCATGTGCCAAGCAACATTCTACCTTCTTCTCTATGGCGGGCAACTCATTCGATCCTTACTACCATCCCCTGAGGCAGGTACTATGCCTCTCCCACTTCACAAATAAGAAAACGGAGGCATTAGAGAGATGAAGTTACCCGTTGTCACATGGCACATAAAGTGTAGAGCCAGGTGGATTCAAAGCCAGTGGTCAGGCTCCTGAGCCCGCCCTCCTAACCAATGGGCTGTTTTTAGCTGTTTTGGTGTGTTTTAATAAATACGACTCAGAAAAAGGCTACCCACAGACAACGTTAATAATATATTAGAGTCTGACTTTTCTTGGGATTTTGCTCTGTGTAACACAGATCCTATCATAAGTTGTACTGAGTAGGGACACAAGGTGATTTGATTAATGGATGGCAAAGTGAGAATTTGGCTTTCAAATCATTTGCCTTTGAAATGTTAATGTCCTTGAATTTACTGAAAAATTAAAAAAAAAAAGACACAAAGTCTGTTGACCCAGGGTTGTAATTACAGAGAAAAGGAATAAAGAGATAGATTTCAAAGCATACAATTAAGCTAAGAAAGTTACCTTCTGATACAGTGTCAGGTTTTACTGGAAAGAAGCTAAGAACAATTTTTTTTAAATCATCAGAATTTCTGCTCACCCTGATTTTCCATAGTGCCAGACAATTTTGCCTAGAATTAGGGTACCAATTACAGTACCAGCAACAAGTCCTTGAGGAGGAAAAAATTTAGTAACACAGTTAATAGAAACATGAACAATTACATATACAATGCAGTTTCACAATGACAAATACATTGTATATGAGACAAGTTAAAGAAAAATAGGAGACCATGAATGACAGTTTGTGTATAGCTTTTTTATGTCACGTTTGACAGTAAAAATTGCATGGTACTTATCCTGCTTTCTTTCAAAGCAAAATGAAATAAAATATTTAAAGTATCACCGTGCTCAAATAAAATTTGTTTAACGGGTTGGAGAGGATAATGAAGTGTTTCAACCTGACCATGTCCAATTTTATGATGACTGCCTTATGTAATTTTAGCACTAGGAGGTACCTTGAAGTTCACTCTAATTATGCAGATGAGTAATTTGAGTTTCAGAAAGGTGAGAGTTACGTCTGTGGTTGTTAATGGGAAGGCCACTTAGTTCATAGTGAAGATAAGAGATGTAGGCCTTTCTCCATCACAGGAAAGGTAAGATCACCTGTGCATGGGGGGGTACAACATATTTACTTTGCTTACAGAATATGCCCTCCAGTGTTTAGTCTTTTGTAGATAAAATTTCAGTTAGGAAAGCTAATATTTACTTTTAGGATTAAATGCACTATTTTGAGTTGAACGACAGAACAACAATTGGTCAAATAAATTGGTCAACAATACTTTTTATAGTTTGATTTTTACACATAATCTTTCTTCTCAAAACCCACCCTTTTGTCTTTTGTCTATGCCATTCTTGGTCTCCCTTTTCCTCCCTACTTCACCCTCTAGGGTCCTTGAAATCTATTATTTAGATCTGTATTGCATAGGAAACTACAGATAACAAAAGGAAAGCAACTGAGTGAGGTTAAATGTGGCCAAATCACAAATCAGTTCCAAATCAGCAAAATACAGATGTCACACAATCACACTGTCGTATGGATACATGATTTAACAAAACAGCTATTTCTACCACAGCTAAGTTTTTACAGTATTTTACCCAATCAATTTCTTTAACTGATTCTCTACCACATCATTAGCGTGGAAAGACTGTATTCATAAAATATATCATGGCTCCTCAAAAATTTGGGGTTTCTTTTCCCTCCATCACTCCCCATTAACCTCTGCCATTTTCAATTGTTGAAAAACCATCCCATTTTCAATTTGAATGATAAATGAAGCAGGAAATTTTAAAGTGATCCAGAGTATCTGGACGACAGAACTAAAATCTTACTCTTAGAACACTGATCAACGCATGTAACTCTAGAACAATGTGTGTGGAGACTCACGTTTTCACTGGGGACTAGAATAAAATACAGAAATAGGAGAAACAGGATCCTACATAAATGATTCTTTAGTAAATAATAAGAGTATTACCCTCCAAATTATAAGCAAAGAAAACTTTCGGGTATAAAGGCAATAGTTAACGTTCTCAAAATTCACTTGGTATCTACAGAAAACCAACCCAAGGGTGTTAAGACTTACCACTTGGAATAAATGAGGCAATGAGATTATGATTACGACAGCCACATTCTTGGTCATTAACTGAAGAGTTTTTAGGTAGGAAAATTATATAATTTTACAAAATGGGTTTCTGCCAAGTAAAAAGAGTGTTTTAGCAATGGTCCTCATTGTACAGAATGATACTTAGTGTTTAAAACATCGCAAAGCAGTTTGCCACCTTGTATCCCGTTACTCCAATAACTAGTGCAGTACTTGGCAAATAGTAGGAAGTGTTTAGTAAATATTTATTAAATTACGCTGAATGATGGATCTTCTTTTTACATAAGAGAAAACCGAGACCAAAAAACGGCGAGGTGATCGGTTTATTACTGTAGAAAAACGTATTTCTAACCCCAGGCTCTGGTCATGATTTTAACTGTTTCTAGTATTCTCAGTAAAAATACCTGAAGTTATTCAAGCCCAATTTATATCAGATGGAGTGCCTTCTCCATTCCTGAAGAACCCAAGTCAGATTCCACATACAAGATCTGATGTTAATTTAGTGATGCTTTTTCGGAAGAAATGTGAGTTTGTCTCCTCACTTCAAAAGGTCTCACTTATATTGTTAATAAAGTGGAAATGTAGTCCAGATGCTATATAAAAAAAAAAAACTTAAAAAGTTGTGAATGGGTTGTTCTTCCTTCTAATCCTATTTAACAAAACAGAATAAAGGAACTGATGTCTGTGGACAAGTGAAGTCACAACAGAAAGATTTTTTTTTTTTTTGGTGGAAAAAGAATGTGCTTGATTAAACCTTAAATTTTCATTTCCAGATTGAGAAACCAGAATTCAACACTGCTTCCCCAGCAACATCCATAGAACCCTGTTAGGGTTTTGCTACCATCAATGGCTTTTCTGTGCCTCCGTACTTTTTAAGTGGGAGACGTTCACACTTCTCTTGCCAGCCTAAGAAGATCAATGAAAAATGCTATACTTACGCCACCTGACTTCTTAACTTTGAGTAACTTATAGACAATTGAGGTCATTTTATAACGGGATTTAAGTTTGGCATACGCAGAGACGGGTAATAGCACACACCGAAGACCTCGTATCACAGCATCCGATGCCTTTCAAATTACTACTGATGATTCACGAGTCTTGGAAATACACTTCCACTTGGGCTAGTCTGTAACATATGCCGTATGCAGGCGGATATATATAAAGCATAAATGAATAAGCATGTGATATTAAAGGATACAGAAAAAGCATTTTAGATATTTCACTGGGTAGTCTCTAATTTTTTCTTAAATATTCCTTCAGCGGACCTGTTCACCACCATGAGAAATTTATGAATGTCACAATATGGGATTTCAGCAATGACGGGGGAAAGAAGAACCAAGACCACATTAATTTTCAAATTTGAGTTGTGCAGGTTTTTGTATAGGACAAGAATCGTTCTATCCTTTTGAGTACCTAGTGCTGGAGAAACAAGTCAAGCCTCATTGAAGCACCTAAGAGCTGTGTGACCTCGGGTAAGTTACAAGTCTTGCAAAAACAGTTCTTTCCGCTAAAAAAAATGGGACATAGAGACACTGTAAGATGTTTTGAGAAGTAAATAAAATAATACATATAAGAATCTCACGACAGGACTTGCCACACAGCCAACACGCAAATATTACTTTAATAAAGGACTGTTCTTATTCTTTGGTGTGGCCAGAGGGAGTTGCTAAAACTGTCAGAACACCATCTTAGGAAAACAACAGTGACTGCATTCTAGGACTTCTTTAAGCTACTATTTATTCAATGTTGAACACCGTGCGGGGAGTTTTCATATCCTACTATCTCATTCGGCTTCAAAGACTTGAAACAGGGATCATAAAAAGAGAAAACCGGGACTCAGATTAAGCTCAATCATTGGGGCTGAATAATTACTAAATTAAACAAACCAAAACAAACCAGGATTCAAACCAAGGTCTGCCTGACTCCAAAGCCCAAGCCTGTCTTCTTCTATACAATGTTGGCATAAAAAAACAAAACCAGAAACAAGAGCGAAAACAAAATACAACTATGAAGAGAATGTATTCTCAGTGGGGTGTAGTATCATCCCAAGAGGCTGAAAAAAATCTTACTTTCTTATGTATAAAGTAAAGGTATAAATGCAGTATATAAATAGATTTGCATTGTATTTGTGGTAGTAAAATGTCACAGGGAGACCATTAGTGGGGGGAAACGTCTAAACTGTTCCTTGAGGGAGAGAAGGCAATAATGAAACAAAACAAACAAAAAAAAAAAGATTGGCTACACGAGTGCTGAGCAAGCATAACGTATACACTTGCGGGATCGCTGTATTGTATACCTGAGACTAAGGGAAAAGGAGTGTCTGTTACACTCAAATAAAAACAACGCACAAATATAAACAAACAGAATGAGAAAAGCGGCCCGATTCACAGAACACTTTGAAGAAATAAGGATAACGTTTAGGTTTATATTTTACAAAGCTAGGATCCCTAAGAGAACGAGCGCTGCAGATCTTCTTTAAGAAGGGAAGAGCTCCTCTTTATTTTTGAGCACAAGTTGGGATTACAACTACCCCCGAGAGAAAGTCTCTGGAAGATCGCACAGTCCACAGTTCAAGAATGTCAGAGAAAGTAAGCACTTCAGACCTACATCCGATGCTACTGGGCAGCTGAGAAAAAGCCCACCCGTTAGACTCACCGTTCTTAACATTAAATCATGAAATCGTGAGATTTTCATTTAGAATACATTTATTTCTATTTAAAATATCAAACAGACAAAGTGAATTCCAACTGTTCAAATCTCTCAAGATAAATACTTTAGCTAAGGAGAGGTTCATTCAAAATATAAAAGAACTATAAATAATAATAATAAATACCTGCTTTCAGCTTTAGCCCCTTGTCTCACTAATGCATATATAGATAGGAGACTTTGGCTTATAAGGACATAATTTTGAAATACTTTCTTTATAAGAGTGTATCTTCTAGTGGGTATGATTAATATGCCCACTTAGCTGTATTGCTTTTGAACAAACATTTCTTTTACCATCTTCGTTAGGAGTTATTAATCTTCTTGTTAAAAGGTATAACATCAGATAATATATTTAAGAACAACAAAAAAGAACTGGGACAAAAACTAGAATAAATGGTGACACAGTAGGTCCTTAGGTCTACGCCAACGGGATATTTTTTAAAGCTAACTTGCTTTACATCACTGACAGGGCAGGGAAATGGAAGAGGATATAACCAAAGGTACTCTGCTGTCTCTGGAATGGGACAGAAGTCTAGAAACAGTCAAGGAGTAGTTTATGATTACTTGTAGAATACTTGAGGCTTAAAAACTGTATTGGTACCTGCCTCTTCTTTGTTGTTCTTTGGCCCCTAGCTTGACGATGCATTGAGACAATAAGCATTCAATAATACCTGATTGACTGGCCACATGATTTGAAGTTGCCCTAAAACTACCTTGGAACAAGAACACGGTTGGGAATACTTAGGAACATACCGAGTACCTAATGGTGTCCACCAAATACGTCGATAAAATGCATTTACCTGTTTTCTCTTCGATACCCTTAAACACTGCATTTTAATAGTATTCCTAAGACACTTAAAAGACAAGATTCTCTTCCAGGAATATGGGTTGTACATCCCACAGTGACGACAATTTCTTTTAACTGCCGAAGAACCAAACTTACCAATTGCAGCGATGTTAGCATCTGAAGAAGAAAAAAAAACAAAAACAAAAGAATTACAAAAAAAAAAATAAATAAAGTCAATGATTTCCTAGCAATTTTATTTATCAACAAAATGCACTCCAAAGTTCAAAAGTAACTCAGATTTTCGTAACTAAAAGAAATAATTGTAAGTAAATTTATGAAACAGTTATGTATTAACTTAATCAAACGACATATACCACAGTGCGTATCTATTCAGCAGAGTCAACACTGTAAATATGACACATGACTAAGAATACTGCAACAAACACCATACAATTTGGGACTTGATGGCAAGAAGCGAGTTTGAAAGCTTAAATAGTAAACTGCAATCCAATCCTCTGACCGAGAAACTATCAGAAACTGAAGTCTCTTTCAGCAGACTCTATCAAAACTCAAATTACCATAGCACCTTAGTTTTTATACCTTTCAATGACTGTGAATGAGGCAAGTGAAGGCAATGAAGTAAACTTTACTTTCAAGTAAATATATTTATAGTAATATTCTGCTCTCTTAAGTAGTGAACAAATTTACTCACGGGACCACTGAGAACAGGCAATATTACACAGCAGAAAAAGCACAGGACTGAGAGCTGGCAAACAGGTGTATACCCCCCCCCCACAATTTTCTCCCTAGTACTAGGCACGGTCTGAATCCTACAAATTAATCTCTGTGCCTTGAATGCACCATCTATAAAACGAAGCTAAAAAGACTTATTTTGTAAGCTTGTTATAAGGACTAGTGTCCAGAAATGGAAAGTGCATGGTACATGCTGTAATCGTAAGTACCCAGTTAAGTGACAGCAGCTACTTTCTTTTTCCATATGAGCAAAAAGTGGTAGATGATATTTAAAGAGTAAGTTAATGGGGCGCCTGGGTGGCTCAGTCGGTTAAGCGTCCGACTTCGGCTCAGGTCATGATCTTGCGGTCCGTGAGTTTAAGCCCTGCATCAGGCTCTGTGCTGACTGCTCAGAGCCTGGAGCCTGTTTCAGATTCTGTGTCTTCCTCTCTCTCTGACCCTCCCCCATTCATGCTCTGTCTCTCTCTGTCTCAAAAATAAATAAACGTTAAAATTAAAAAAAAAAAAAAGAGTAAATTAATTACTTAAAAGAGAGAAAATTGACCCCAAATATTGGTTGTATTTTTATCACAATGTTTGACTTAGGTTTATTTTTTTTCAGATTTAGTTTAAGTTTGTTAAATTATCTTGTATTTTTTGGGGGGGGGGCAGAAAGAAATATTTCAACAAAGTTAGCTCTATAACAAATTTATATAAAGTGAAACTTATGGGGCGCCTGGGTGGCTCAGTCGGTTAAGCTCAGGTCGTGATCTTGTGGTTCATGAGCTCTTGCCCCACATCGGGTTTCAGAAAGGACAGCCTGTATTCGGAGCCTGCTTCGGATTCTGTGTCTCCTGTCTCCCTCCCTCCCCTGCTCATGCTCTGTCTCTCTCTGTCTCAAAAATAAATAAAAAATTTAAAAAAAATTTTTTTAAGTGAAACTTATGGGGCACCTGGATGGCTCAGTTGGTTAAGTGTCTGACTCTTGATTTTGGCTCAGGTCGTGGGATAGAGTCCTGCTTTGGGCTGCGTGCCGTGCGGAGCCTGCTTGGGATTCTCTCTCTCCCTCTGTCTATCTCTGCCCTGCTCATGCTCTCTCTTTCTCTCAAAATAAATAAAAGCCTTAAAAAAAAATTTTAAGGGACTTAAATTTTTTAAGGGCTTAGTCGGTTAAGTGTCCAACTTCAGCTCAGGTCATGATCTCTCAGTTAGAGGGTTTGAGCCCCGCATCGGTCTCTGTGCTGACAGCTCAGAGCCTGGAGCCTGCTTCGGATTCTGTGTCTCCCTCTCTCTCTGCCCCTCCCCTGCTCATGCTCTGTTTCTCTCTCAAAAATAAACAAATGTTAAATTTTTTTTTTAATTAAAAATAAAGTGAAACATTTCTCTTTTCCATGCTCTATGAAAAACTGGATGTATTCAACCTAAACCATTTAGGTTGAAGACGTCAAATAACCTCCTACAAGTGTTGAAAGTAACAAACTAAATATAAAGGTGTCAACGTAAGCTATAAAACCGATATTGAGTACCAAAAGTCAAGTTAGATGATGAAATATATGCCATACTGCTTACATAAATTATAAAAACATAGAAAACAATATCAATGTACCACTAATGGAAATACACATACAACACGAGAATTAAAACGTAGATAGGATGCTTACACACTGACCTCAAGGCAGTAATTGCCTTGAGGGAGACAGAAATGGTGACACAGAACAGTGTCTGCAATGTTCAAATTCTTAAAAATACCCAGGTAATGGCAAGAAAGACTTCAAGATGACAACTGTGAAATGTATGAAATCGTTACAAAAATATGGTCACAATGTGTATAACTGTCTTTGAAAAAACACAGTTATCTGATGCCATTGAGGAATGACTCAAAGCAGGTAGGAATGGGTTAAGATTCTGTGTATTTGCACGTATTTGGCTTTTTACCTAATGGAATCAAGAAATATACAAAGGAAATTTCAACAATGATATCTGTAATGTTTTCAGCTCTTAAGAATCGTCTGGGGTGATGGCAAAATAGACCTCATCATAGCAGTTATAAAACCTGAACAAAATATGCAAAAACATAATGACGGTGATTTGATGGCACCAGAGGGCACAGGAAGACAGGCAGAAATTGGTCAAGACCAAAAGTGGGAGAAGAACTGCCTGGAACGTGGTTTGTGTGTTTGCCGGGAAGGAAATCCCTGGCCATGTGGTGTAAGGGGCAGAATGCCAGGGGCCTACTGGCTGGATAAGTCAGTGGATGGAGTTCAGGATCAACAGAGCATCTGGAAAGGGAGGGGGCAAATCTGAGGGACTTCTACGATTTTATTTCTTGACGTTTGTGGTAGTTACACAAATATTTGCTTTAGAAAAGTTATTGAGCCACACATGGGTATTTTATGCAGTGTGTGTGTGTGTGTGTATGTGTGTGTATTTGTTCAAACAAAAATTTACAACGATTTTTTTAAAATTATCTCTTGGCTCACAGTCCTATTGAGATTTTCGAAGGAACCGAAAAAAAATAGACATCTCTCATACGGAACAAGAACGTCCATAAAAATTTTGGCTACACATTAGACAAGTTATGAGACAAAAGGACATCCCAGTAGCCTGAAGCAGCAGTAACTAGTAAGAAGGGTTTCATTGGTTCACTCAACAGGTATTTCTGAAGTCTACAGTCTATTTTACTCCACTTTTATAAAAACTGTCATTTAAAGAGCCTTGTGTTAACATAGACTATTTCAAAGAATTCTGTGTTTTCCCTTACTTAGAAGACACTGTTGAGATGCTTTACCAACTCTAGGGAATCTGGAACACCCTTTAGCATGCTTAAGGGATGGACCTCTATCAATCAACCAGACCCAGAAATCAACCTTAAGGATGGTACAGGTTTGGTTCTCAGAAGGGTCCTGAAGAAGTCAACGACTCCCTAAAGCTAACGTGGAAAACAGAATTTCTTCACCAATCTTAATTTCGCATTGTTTTTATGGAGCCACAATCTTTTTCTATGTTATTGTAAAATGTGTCTTTTTAAACAACTTGCCCTAGCATACTCCAAATCTGCCTCTGAAGAAAGTCAAGAGCGCTAGCATGAAAAACTCCTTCTACCGTAGCACATGAGATCCATACTCAGGAAAACCTGAACAGTCTTAACTAACCTGAAGAAGGAGTTCCTCTTCCTTTATGCGAGCTTGTTGAGAGAAAGCGCGTGGTTGCCCTGGGAACAACAGCTGAAGTCTGTTTTGCTGTAATATGAGCAGAGGTCAATCTTTTTGTTGTATGGAAACCCTTAGTCACTGGGGCATGGACAGCGGTGGACTTTTGTGTTGCTGGAACACTCTGTGTAAATGAAATTTTTGCTGTGGTGGATCTACGGGTTGCTGGTATGGCCTGTGTAGCAGACGCATTTGCCACGATGGGCTTCTGGGCTGCCGGTGGGGTCTCTGTAGATACAGCATTTGATACAGGGAGTTTTTTGGCTGTGGCTGAATCATTTGCTGTGGTAGGTTTCTGAGGAGTTGGTTGGGACTTTGTAGTTGAAGAATTTATTTTGGTGGATTTCTGAGGAGTTGGTAGGGCTTTTGTACCTGGAACATTTACAGTGGTAGGTTTCTCAGGAGTTGGTAGGGCTCTAGTAGCTGAAGAACTTACTGTGTTGGGTTTCTGAGAAGTTGATGGGACATTTACTGTGCTGGGATTTTGAGAAGTTGGTAGGGTTTCTGTAGCTGAAGAATTTAATGTGTCAGGTTTCTGAGGAGTTGATGGGAGCTTTGTAGCTGAAATATTTATTGTGTTGGGTTTCTGAGGAGTTGGTAGGGCTTCCATAGCTGAAGAACTTATTGTGTTGGGTTTCTGAGAAGTTGATGGGGCCTTTGTAGCTGAAACATTTACTATGCTGGGTTTCTGAGGAGTTGGTAGGGCTTCTGTAGCTGAAGAATTTATTGTGTCAGGTTTCTGAGGAGTTGAGGGGGACTTTGTAGCTGAGGCATTTGTTGTGTTGGATTTCTGAGGAGGTAAAAGGACTTCTGTAGCTGAAACATTTACTGTGTTGAATTTCTGAGGAATTGATGGGGCCTTTGCAACTGGAGCATTTATGGTGGTGGGTTTCTGAGGAGCTGATGGGACTCTGGTACCTGGAACATTTGTGGTGGTGGGTGTCTGAGAAGTTGATGGGGCTCCAGTACCTGGAACATTCACTGTGGTGGGTTTATGAGGAGTTGATGGGGCTTCAGTGCCTGGAACATTTTCTATGATGGGTTTCTGAGGAGTTGATGGGGCTTCAGTACCTGGAACATTCACTGTGGTGGCTTTATGAGGAGGTGATGGGGCTTTAGTACCTGGAACATTCACTGTGGTGGTTTTCTGAGGAGCTGATGGGACTTTCGTACTTGGAACACTTGCCATTGGAGGCTTCTGAACTGTTGGCACGCCCTTAGAAATCTGGGAATTTTCTGCGGAAGAGAATTGTACAAAAATTAGCTAAATAATGCTGTCAAGTTAAGATTTAGGAACCAACTGCTTGCTCTGTGACTTCTCCCTTTCTTCCTAAAAACACTTAAATTTGACATTTAGGAAAGCAAGTCTTATTGTGAATTTCCCAAGGACCTGAAATGCCACATTGTTTTTGCTCTGATATAAATGATACCCACAGCCAGTTAAAGTGGGTTTGCACCAAAGCAGTACTGAGGTTCGTAAACTGTTTTCTGTGTAAAGAAAGGAAACCAAAGTCAGAGTTGGTAGTAATCTCAGCCTGTGACACACCCCAAATTGAGATGTTTTCTCTCACAAAATGTCTTCCTTTGCTTATGCCAAGACCAAAGAACAACACTGGACAGACAGAGATAATCACAACATAGTTCCTTTTTCCAATGCTTTCTGGCATGTTAGCGACCTCAGAAACGTCTTTGTTTTACTTCTTTTTTCACATAATAAAGTCAACCTGAATAAAATAACTTTTTCCTCTTGTGCTGGCTACCAACTTTACATATCCTAATTTAGTTCCTCGTTGGATTTTAGGTCAGGTAACAAATATCTGAATTTGCAGCTTCCGTTAAGATCCTGTTACAAGAATCACAAATCTAAAAACTTGGCACAATTTTAGGTCTTCAGTGCCTTTTTGACTTCGCGTGGCTTGCAAATTCCTTCCTAAGGCAGCGCCGAGTAGGGCGACCCATTTCACCACACACTAGAAACTGTGGTCAAGTTCTCTAATTCTGCTAAGCTTCGGTGTTCTCATGTGTGTAATGAAGATAAAAACAAAGCAGATTTTATGACATTATTATAAGGAAGGAGAGGTATAACTGAGGTAAGTTATTCCCCACAGTTCTTGTCCCTGAAGCAACACATTTTAGCATAGTGCCAGTTCCACCAACACACGTTTTGCCCCATGCACTCACAGGTTGTGTGTCCTTTACTTCTGCTTCCTGTATCTACGTCAAATGACGCTGGAAAAAGGATAAGGCACATCAAATACCTAGCCAGTGGCACAGTACTTAGGCACTCAAAAAATGATAGATGGTGCTCTTAGAGTAAGTAAAGCTTTTACATGGGTTTTTCCTCTAAGATGCTCATATGTAAAATTTATCCTTTGTTCCACCATGTTAGTTCTCATTTTTGACCCAGGGGGCTTAGGTGCTAGTGGAGCTTAAGTTTCCTAGAAAGTGCTTCTCCGGTTACCTCTTTGTTATTTGGTGCCTAGTTTAATTCCATCGCCATTAGAAAGCACGCTCCGAATTATTTCAGTCTGCTGCGATATACTGTGATTTAGAGCCCAGAATACAGTCAATGTTCCATGCACCCTTGAACAAAAAAGTTTTTCAGGGTTCCGTGCTCTTAAGAGCACTGAATGAAATATGTTTATATGAAAATATATCAGTTTTTTAAAGTTTAACTGTTGCTTCTATATTCCTTGTGGTTGCTTGTTCTATCAGCTATTGAAACAGGTATGTAGAATTCTCAAACTATAATCATGGATTTGTCTATTTTTCTTTCTGTCCATTTTTAACAATGTGTGGATTGAAGCTTTTTTTCAAGTGTTCATAGATTGTAGTTTGTGATAGATTCCTGTTGAACTGACCCCCTTTGTCATTATGTACTCTCCTACCTTACATATGCCTTAATACTAATAGAATTGCATGAGCTGTTTTTATTTATTGATTTATTTTTGGTAATTGTTTGCAAAGTATATTTTTCCATCTTTTACGTCTGACCATTCAGTGTTCTTATAATTAAATTGGGTCTCTTGTAAAGCAGATAGTTTTTTGTTTTGTTTTGTTTTTTTAAATCCGGTCTGGCAATCTTAACTTACACTTAGTATAATTACTGATACAGTTGGGTTTATATCAAACACCTGACTCTTAGTTTGCCATTCCACCCATCATTTTATGTTTCTCTTCCTCTCTTGTTTCCTTTTGGACAAACTATTCATTAACATTCCCTTATTAGCTTATGATTTCTACATTCTGTCACTATTATTTTCATGATGGCCCCAGAGAGCATGGCATGTATTAGACTAGAGGTCAATTATGCAAATTAACATCTTTACCACTTTTTAGTATTGCCCAGAACCTTGTAACATTTGAATTCAATTTACCTCCTTCTGTCTTTTGCTTACTTGCTATTACACATTTGTATTTGACATAGAAGTCACATCCCCGGAGGCACTACGTTCACTGTTTTGTAGAGTCCATGGTCGTGTATATAATCTTGGTAGCGTTCTTCATTTCCTTTTGCATTTTCCTGTTTTACTTGGGATTATTTTCATTCTGCTTGAAGGACTAGTTTTACTGTGTCATTCAGTGCAGGTCTGGTCTGCTGGGGACAAGTTCCCTTGGTTTTCATAGGAGAACATATTCGTTTTGCATTCAGTCTTAAAGGATGTATTCACCAGGGAAAGAGCCTAGGGTGAGCAGTTCTCCTTTACTTGAAGGATTTCTTCTTGTTGTCTTTGGTTTCCATAATTTTTGTCGAGAAGTCCATGATCAGTTGTCGCTCCTTTCAAGATAATGTGTCTCTTTGTCTCTTGGTACTTTTATCATTATTTTAAGTTTCCAAAATTTTTGCTATGAGATGCCTGGAAATGGTTTTATATATATTCTGTTTAGAGTCCGGAGAACTTTTGCAATATGTTGATGTATTTCATCAGTTTTGGAACAGTGTGTCATTTCTCTGAATATTTCTATTCCTATTTATCTCCTTCTCTGTCTCTCCTCCTTAGCTAACATAGGTTAGAACAGTTTCACATGTCAAATATCTCCTAAAGTTGTATCTTTATTTTACATTTTCCCCCCTCTTTGTGCTTCTGGGCATTATTAATGAATCTTCCTTCCTGTTCCTAACACTGTTTCCTACTGTGTCCAAATCACTGTGAAACCTATCTATCATGCTCTTCATTTCGGATTTTGTATTTTTCAGCTGTAGAAAGTCTACTCCATTTTTACAGATTCCAGTTCTTTGTTGAAATTCTCTATTTATCTTTTCCTTTAATACCTTAAACATATTAATCACTTATTTTAAAGTCCTTGCCTGCTAACTCAATTATCTGGATCTCCTTTATCTGGATTTATTTCTCCCTGGTTTGGTTATAATTTCTTGCTTCTCACCATGCCTAATAACTTGTTTATTGTATTATAGATATTTGTATCTAAAACATTCAGAAGCTATGATCTTCCAAAGACAGGTCCCCTTTTCTGATAGGCAGACTGGTAATGGAGGTGATCACCTCCTCAGCCCATGAGGAACTGAGATGGGTCTCAGCCTCAGTAAGGCTCAGTCTATTCTACCAATGCCTCCGATCCTTGGGGATGGCCCCTGTGGGCTTTTCCTGGACAACCTGGAAGATCTTTGTTTCCTCATCGCTGGGAAACTGTGGGGGATCCCAGGTCTGTCCTTCAGAGTCCCCAGCCCAACAATCCAGCCTCCTTCCCCACACAGCTTCAAAATGGTCACAAATATCTTAAGGGGCAGACTGGCTGTGTGCTTGATCCAAGCTTCTTCCTCAGATAGGTGTTCATTGCTCAAATACCATTAAGATCTGAGGAATTTCATTTTGTACTTTGGAAGCTCTGGGTCTAACACCCCAGTCTCCCCTGCAGCCCAGAAATCAGCAAATGACCTTTTGGAGAAACCAGCACTGCATGTGAGGACCTCAATTTTCCGTGTGTTTTCCTAACCCACCAGAACCATTAAAAGCTTTGCCCATTTCTTGGGGCACCTACGTAGCTCAGTCAGTTAAGCGTTCAACTTGGGCTCAGGTCATGATCTCGTGGTTTGTAGGTTCAAGCCACGCTGGGCTGACAACTCAGAGCCCGGAGCCTGCTTCGGATTCTGTGCCTCCCTCTCTCTTTGCCCTTTCCCTGCTCATGCTTGGTCTCTCTCTCTCTCTCTCAAAAATAAGTAAACATTAAAAAATAATTTAAAAATAAATAAATAAAAGCTTTGCCCACTTCTCTCTTTCCTGGCAGTGGTTTTTTTTATGTGAGTTGTGACGAATCCCCAGCCCAGGTGTACCTCAGAACATCTTGCCTTCACTCACCACCCCCAGGAATTCGAGTTCATGCAGTCCTCCTTGTTCCCAGGACTTGTATCTTATGCCTTTAAAAATATGACTTAAAAGGGGGTCTCTAGGTGGCTCAATCGGTTAAGTGGCCATCTCTCGAATTTCAGCTCAGGTCATGATCTCACGGTTCATGAGTTCGAGCCCCGCATCATGGAGCCTGCTTGGGATTCTCTCTCCTCCTCTCTCTCTTTCTGCCCCTCCCCTGCTCTCTTTCTCTCTCTCTCTCTCAAAAAATAAAAATGGGGGCGCCTGGGTGGCTCAGTCGGTTGAGCGTCCAACTTCAGCTCAGGTCACGATCTCACGGTCTGTGAGTTCGAGCCCCACGTCGGGCTCTGGGCTGATGGCTCAGAGCCTGGAGCCTGCTTCCGATTCTGTGTCTCCCTCTCTCTCTGCCCCTCCCCCATTCATGCTCTGTCTCTCTCTGTCTCAAAAATAAATAAACATTAAAAAAAAATTAAAAAAAAATAATAAAAATGAATTTAAAAAATATGACTTAAAATAATGGATCCAGATTTGGCAGTTATGGTAATAGAAACATTAGCCTACCATAGCCTACTTGGGCACTATCCTAGAGTTGTAAGCTCTAAATAACTGATAATTTAAGAAAGCAGGGTAAAGTAACCATGACATGTGTCAAATAGATTAAGGGGGAAAAAAAACACATATCAAACCTCACCCATAATTAAATTAACTCAAACAATAAAATGAAATGTTCACTGCTTATATTGTCTCATCTCCACATCATAATAACCATGCTCATTAACTGTGCAGAGAACCAGCACAATGACGCGATATGGGTAGGACAGTAAATTGCTACATTTTCTTTGGAAACAGTGTTGATAACATCTATCAAAAGTTCAAATGCATATACCTTTGCTTCAGTAATTACACTGCAAGGAATTTATTGTACAAAATGTACTTGCCCACACGTGCAATTCCAGATGTATAATATTCCTTGCAGCATCTTTTGTCATAATAATTTACAAAGCAAACTAGAATCAAAAACTAAATTCCCCTCAACAGGTTAAATAAATGATACATCCATACAACAGCTATGATTAAAAAAATAAATGTTGTAAAAAAATATGCGTATGTATGTTTATTTTCTAGAATCGAACACGAAAATTTGTGAACAGCGGTCACTTCTGAGGGTTTACTTCTCATTTTATACTAGTCTGCATGGTTTTAATATTACTGCTCTGTTAATGTACACCATTTATAACACAAACCTACTTTTCACAAACACTGATGTTTAAAAATCCATGCCAATGCAATTCCAAGTATAATTATAAAAGTAGCATTTGCTTGAGTTATACCGGCATTCAAACATGACATTGCTAAAACAAATACCACCTACTGGGACTACTATCTAGATCCTAGATAGTCTAACTATCTAACTTTCCCTCCTAACTGAATAAAATAAGCCACGCTACGGACCTTTGTATGAGTATTAACTCATTGAAAGTAATATGGTAAGAAGTAGCAAACTTAAGCTAATTCACTATAGCATGAGACATTACGGTGTGTGTGTGTGTGTGTGTGTGTGTGTGTGTGTGTGTGTGTGTGTGTATTTGTATATGCTGTGTGTGTATATGTATGTATTTATTTATACATTATCATATGTTCTCCATATCAGTAGTTCTTTCTTTCTTGTAACCCATAGACTCTTCTGAGGATCTGATAAAAAACTGTGTCCCCCAGAAAAATGCAGATATGCACACGTACAACATCGTACATTCATTTCTCAGGGGGTTCATGGAATCTCTGTAGCCCACATATAGTCCTAAAGGTAAAAATAAAACAAAAACATAACTATGCAAACTGATTACCTTTGCATTCAGGGGGCAGGCCACTCCATTCTCCTTGATCATCTTTGACAGTACAATAAATAGAGTTCTCTCCGATCAGGGTAAAGCCTGGATTACACTGATATTTTACAGACTGTTGATACACATAGGTTTTCCGTGGATTTTGAATGATTCCATTGCTAATTTCTTGTGGTTCTGGACAAACAATTTCTTTAAAAAATTCCAACATATTTTAAATTAATAAAACTGCCAAGGTATTTTTACATAAGACTAAGATATGTTAAATTATTTTAAAGAATTAAAAATCTACCATTTCTCTAAATTCAGCATTATCAACAAGGGATGCTTATAAATACATATTAAGTAACGAGAACATATTTGGAGCTTTGGATGCAAATGTTGTAAAACATGAATGCTAACATTGAGACCAATGTATAGAAATAAGATTTAGAACAGGGGTGCCTGGTTGGCTTAGGCATTTAAGCATCTGACTCCTAATCTTGGCTCAGGTCATGATCTCACAGTCTGTGGGATCTCGCTCTGCATCAGGCTCTGCTCTGACAGCATGGAGCCTGTTTGGGATTCTCTCTCTCTCTCTTCCCTTGTCTCAAACCCCTTCCCTGCTCTCTCTCTCTCTCAAAATATATTAAAAAAAATAAATAAATAAATAAATAAGATTTAGAACATATATGTAAAGCAAAAATTACAATAAAGTCTGCACATATTCCAGATCAAATTGTGCTAGAAAAAAGTAAATACTGCCAGAGTTCAGAAGTGAAAGCAGGACAGAGATTTTAAGGAGGATATGGAACTTGAATTTAATACTGAGATGTACCCTTCTGCGAAGACAGCAGAGAAGAGGGCATTGCTCTTTATTCCAGGGAAAAATGATGCTAAATGAAAGGAGCTTAGAAGTCAAGAGGCGGGGTGCCTGGGTGGCTCAGTCAGTTGAGCTTTTGAGACTTCAGCTCAGGTCATGATCTCATGGTCTGTGAGTTTGAGCCCTGCAATGGGCTCTGTGCTGACAGCTCAGAGCCTGGAACCTGTTTCAGATTCTGTGTCTCCCTCTCTCTTTGCCCCTCCCCCACTCACGCTCTGTCTGTCTCTGAAAAATGAATCAACCTTAAAAAAATAAAGTAGTTAAGTGGCATACTTGGGAAATACGAATAGATCATTTTGACAGAGCAAAATACCTTAAATGTCAGGATTACATTTTAACCTTTAGGATAAATTTTTTTAAGCATGTATTGACTCACAGCCTTTTACTTCACGTAAATTTATTGAGCAGCGGAATATGTCAAACAAATACAAGCAGAGTCTCTCTGGTTATACTATAAAAAGAGACCTCTCTCTAGAAGTTGCCCTGATTAAAAAAACAATGCAATGGTTCCACATTCTCTAGAGCCATGACGTTGTTTGTTATTTTTTTTTCCTTGAATCAGGAAAGCAATGTGATCACCTGTATACATCGAGCGGCCTTAAGTAACCAGAGAATACTAGAAAATTTATAAATTACTTTTAGGCCATCGATCAAAGCAAGGAGCAAAAACAAGTTAGTCTGCTGTGCTCTGGGCTTGGGTCTGATAACAACACATATCACCATCGGTACAGTTCAGATATTTTCCGAGTGCCTAATGCATACCAGGCATTGTTCTAGAAACAGAATTGCAAAACTAAAGAAGATATTAAGTCCTGGGTCTTCAAGCAGAGTGACAAAAAAGATTTTAATTTGATCTTTAACTAAATACAAAAGATTTTAATTTTAACACAAGATAGGGAGACTTTCGGCAGAAGTGTGTTCCGTGGTGTGGAAAGAGAGAAGAAGGACAGTTAACCAGCTGGAAGGTCAGGAGAAACTTCTAGAAGGACTATCAAAGCAAACCCTCAATAAGAAAAAAAAGAGAAGTCCTGCAATTGAAGGGGCCAAAGGACACTCCAGGCAGAGGCAGTCACAGAAGGAAAGCGGGAGGGCAGTGAGTGTGGGTACAGCATGAAGTATGAGGGCAAGACATAAGCACGGAGTAGGAAGGCCACGGCTAGCCTTGTATGCTTCACCAAGGAGTCTGGACGTTGTAAGTGACGAGGAGACAAGGATCAGCTTTAAGAAGGAAGAGATGAGACACATTTGTGTTTCAGATGCATCACTCTGGGTAGCGTGTGAATGAAATATTACAAGAATAGAGGATGGGGCCATTGCGAACAGTGTCACTTTTGAGCTCAGGCCAAGTGGGGACTCTTGCCCTAGCTCCCACACTTTATTTTCTTTTTAAGTTTTATTTATTTTGAGATAGACGGGGTGGGGAGGGGCAGAGAGAGAGGGAGAGAGGGAGAGAGAGAGAGAGAGAGAGAGAGAGAGAGAGACTCCCAAGCAGGCCTTGCACCATCAGCACAGATGTGGGGCTCAAACTCACGAACCGTGAGATCATGACCTGAGCCGAAGTTGGATGCTGAACCAAGTGAGCCACCCAGATGCCCCTGGCTCCCACACTTTAAAAGGCTACGCTGTGGCCCTCCTCTGTGCCTCTCCCTACCGGGTGGGATATCTGCAGGGCACGAAGGCGTGCTCACTGCGAGCTCCCCCTCCACTCCCGCTGTAAATCATGCTCTAGGAACTGGCCCAGAATTCCCTGTGCCAGCACCCTTTGCAGGGCCTGAAAGGTCCCTTCTCCTGGTCTGTATTCTACTTTTTTTTTTTTAATATGGAACACTTCACAAATTTGTGTGTCATCCTTGAGCAAGGGCCACGCTAATCTCTGTATTGTCCCAATTTTAGTATATATGCTGTGGAAGCAATCACATGGTCCCGATTGTTGAGAATGGTCTATACTGTCGATGTGTACATCTGCAGCCCAAAGTTCAGTGGAGTGGGAAAAAAGGTCACAGGGCGCATGGCTTGGGTGTGTGGGCCGAGTGGTCCATTGACAGGCATCAGAGACTTCTCACAGCGACAGAAGGGGATACCTATTTGAGACAGATTGGGTCTTAGGTCACGAACCTCCATTTAGATTTGCTCTGGGCCCTTGAAAATGTTAGGAGTGGCCCTTACTGCAAGAGTCCAGATGAAGGATAATCAACCACACAGAAGTCATACAGACAGAGGATAAGACACAGGTTTGGAAGTATATTAAGGAGATAAAGCAAAACGATTTAGTGATTAGAAGTGGGAGGTAAAGATAATGGGATGGGTCTTGGATGGCAGATATTATACAGATATATTCCAGGACTGCAGGGGATAGCAGTTCACTAAAGGTACTTCTGAAAAAAGGAAACATTGGGAAGGGCACCTGGGTGGCTCAATCGGTTGAGCGTCCGACTTCTGCTCAGGTCATGGTCTTGCGGTCCTTGGGTTTGAGCCCCACGTTGGGCTCTGAGCTGTCAGCTCAGAGCCTGGAGCCTGCTTCAGATTCTGTGTCTCCCTCTCTCTCTCTGCACCTCCCCTGCTCACACTCTGTCTCTCTCTCTCTCTCTCTCAGAAATAAACAATAAAAATTTAAAAAAAAAAAAGAAAACATTGGGAGAAAGATAGGAAAACAGATCCTTCTGACATTGAAGCTTCATTCAGAAAGGACCAAGCACTACCGAAGTTTGATGTATAACAAGGACACATCTTGACCTCTTAACCTTTTCTTTCCTTCCTCAATCTACACGCTGACATTAAAGCACTCTGGTGCGTCCAGAGGCCACGGCTGTGTACTTAAGGTGAGGCAGCTCACTGTTTAAGAATGTGTATTTTCCACTTCATCCTTTGGCATTGTCCAAACAGAAAAATTAAGTCACGTGGAAAATGAGAATCAGAGCCTAAAAGAACTGGGCTTTATCGGGATAGCTGAAGGCACAGGTTTTTTAAGGAAAAAGGGCTCCTTTTTTGCAAGACACAGGTGTCCGTGGTCGCTGAACAATCAAAGAGGAAAACAGGAACCCCAGTCAAAGAGGAAAATGGAGTTCAAGTTACCAGACAGGGAGTAGGACTGTGGCCCAGCCCCGGCCAAACATGAAGAGAAAGTGTGTTTGCAGTGCAGAAGCTCTACTGTGCTGGGTTACGTGCTTGGTGTCCACATGTCTGTGAAGTTCCTGACAGCAGTTGCTTGTGAAGATCGCAGCCTCAGACCGGGAGACTGCTTGTCCAGACTCCTGGACAAGTTGTCTGTGTCAGGAAAAAAATACAGTCTGGTTCCTCTTTGCCGTCCAAACTTACTCTAGTACCATGCACAACATCCCCTGCTGGATGGTGGAAATGGGAAAGATGGTGGGGGGCAGTAATGCTAAAATTTTCGAAGTAATAACAACGAGACAAAGATGTAGCAGAGAGAGGAGGGTGGAGTCAGCACAAGGAGGGTGTGGGTGTGATCAGCTTACTCCTGTAAGCTCTTGGCTGGCAAGGCTTCAATTTATTTGTCTTCATATCAACTGACCCCACACATTGCCTCCTACAGTGTGCCCATCAATACGTGCTGGACAAATTACGCTAAGTCTATTCTAGTTTCCTGCTCCTAATAACACCAAAAACTTGAACTTAGCAATGATTTTAGCAAAGATGGGAGAAATAAAGCCTACATTTTAAAAGTTTTTAAGAAATGTTTATTTATTTTTGAAAGAGAGAGAGAGAGAGAGAGAGAGAATGAGATAGAGACAGAGACGGAGACAGAGAGAAAGGCAGAGAGAGAGGCAGAGAGAGAATCCCAAGCAGGCTGTGCACTGTTAGCATGCAGCCCGATGTGGGGCTCAGTCTCACGAACCGTGAGATCATGACCTGAGCCAAAGTCAAGAGCCAGAACTCAGCCAACTGCACCCACTCGGGTACCCCTCAAGTCTACATTTTTAAATGCTACATTTTTTCTTAAGAAGAAAAAAGAAATATGTTCCATGGATTTTACCCCTCTCAATTTTCAGGAGACCTATATCTAGAGTGGATATAAATTTGGCTTGATACATGTATGTATGATATTATTTCTGTGCCCTACCTCCCTTTTAGCAGATAAGATCCTCAAGTGCAGAAATCATATTTCTTCTATATTGTATAACTTTATTTCTCTAATGGTGAAAAATAAATCACACTTGAGAACATTTATTGATAATTAGCTCAGCTCATAATCCCACAAGAGGCAGATAGGCAACACTGGGTTTTAGAAAAATAATGGATTTGAATCCAGAAGTCTGGGTTAAATGCCTTCTCTTGCCACTTATGTTGGGATGTAGGGTCAGATCATATAGATTCTCTGATAAAAAGTATTTTAATCCATAAAGTTAAAAATTGTGGGGGAAGAAAAACTCTGTATCTATTTTGCTTGACTGTTAGAAGGAAAGGTAGGATAATGTACGACTGAGCACAATACATATCTCAGTTTGTTGGCTTTTGTGTGTGTGTGTGTGTGTGTGTGTGTGTGTGTGTGTGTGTGTGTGTTTTGGAGTTTGTTGGGTTTTTAATCCTTTATCTCCATAACTAATAAAGTAAGATACATTACTGATAAAGTAGCTAAGACATTCCTACATTGGAAAGTAAGGGTACTACAAATATACACTGTGGATAATTCTTAATGAGAGAAAGTAACGCAGGGGCGCCTGGGTGGCTTAGTCGGTTAAGCACCGACTCTTGGTTTTGGCTCAGGTCATGATCTTCCAGTTTCATGAGTTCAAGCCCCGCATCCAACTCTGCGCTGACAACACAGAGCTGCTTGGGATTCTCCCTCTCCCTCTCCCTCTCTCTCTGCCCACCCCACCCCCACCACTTGCGCTGTCTTCGTCTCTCTCAAAAATAAATAAACTTAAAAAAGAAATAAGAGCGTAATTTACCACTGATTATTCAGCCTCACCACCAGAGCACTTAGGTTTTTTTCAGTCTTACCTTCGCATTTTGGCAATGGGTCACTCCAGTCCACAGCCTGGTCTACAAGGGAACAGTAACTAGAAGCTGAACCTACTAGCCTATACCTAAAACAATGAATGGAGAGAAAAGTTAGGTCTCATCCGCACGTGTTTGACTTCGTTTAAATTCTCCAGAATTATCACCTTAAAATATTTACTATCCCCGTAGATGGAGACGAGACAATAGTTGATCAAAGTTTACATGGCAGTGTAAAGGAAAAGAAAAATTTACTTTGAAAAAGGTGATATCCAAACGAAAAAAAGGTAGGAGACAGGCAAAACATTTTTGATTTGGGTGGAGTCCGTGTGAGAGAACATGAAAGTGTTTTGAAACATTTTACGGTGATACAGATGTTTGGATATTTTATATTTCTGAATGCTAAATGATCAATAAGGCGTTCACAGAATAAGAGAACATATTTTAAGGGTTCAAAGTACTCCCCAGATTTGATATTAATCATATTAATGATCCAAACGTCTCTGTTTCATACAGGAGACAAGTGATGCTGGTATTTTTATTTTCTAAAGAGCAGGGACACACACACACACACACACACGGAGTAAAATATCATAACTCAATGCGCAGATATTCAATGAGAAAATGAACATAAAGTTTCCAGAAGTGTCTGAGACACTGATGATACTCAATGAGTGAGTTCCTCTTCCGTACATATGGGACTTAGAAAAGACCTCAGGGCAGAATGGTATTTCCACACTAGGAATAAATGTCTTTAACACATCATACTTTCTAACAGGCCATTTGCATATAGAAGAAAATATGGTAAATTTAGGCAAATGAAGGACTGGTTTCATTTGAACCATTGAAGGACTTAATTTCTGCAAGTGCAAACATGTTTTTCTTCCTTCGCCAATCACATTTAAAACGTTCTAGTGAATCATAGACGTACTGAAATCTAGCAATTGAGGGAATTTGATGTTACAAGAAATTGTCTTTCCTTGCCCCATTTTATTACACGTAACTGTGATGAGCTCATGATGAAAGATCTTTGAGCAGAGGACTCGTTTTATGGAGACTGGCTTGAAAACACTGACCACAAATGTAAACACTTACACCTTCCATCCTGTTTTCACACTAATTAAATATAGAGTATAAATACAAACTATGCCCAGACGTACCCTGTGTCACACGAGAAGGAAATAGATGCACCATATAATATGTCAGTCGTTATACTGACATGACCATGTGTTATATCTCCAGGAGTAGGACAGGATTTTTCTAGAAGACAGCACAAATTTATTTTTTCATTAGATTATCAGGCACATCTATGCAAATGCATTGTCACTTCTTATCCGTAGACGTTTCATACACTGCTTTCATATGGTAAGTTTCAAATAATGTATTTAGAATATACACTCATTACATCTGAGGTGGCCTTAAACTAATTAAATGTGAAATGTGTGAGTTAATTAATATTCCTATCTCACGAGTATTTAGTTTGCCTAATTTAAAATAAAATTAATGGTTCTTTTCAGAAATTCTAAATAATGACAGGCACACGTAGACTTCTGGCATGAATGAAGGAAGAAATACTATTTCCCCAAATACCGTATGATTGAGAATACTCTGTAAAATTATACTCACTTTTACAAAATTCATCTGGTATGGACCACGTAAAATTCTGAAGGCAAGTTAGTTTGTCTGAGAGAGTTTGGTTCCTTCTGTAGCCCGGACGGCAATCGTATTCCACAACGAAACCCTCGGGGAAATAATTCTGTTTGCTAAAAGACCTCTTGAGCGATGCAAAACGTAGCCTGGGTGGAACATCGCAGCTACCTGAAAGTATGAACAAGAGCAACAACATAGGTAACATCACTTTGTTTTATAATCTATGTTTAATTATCCAGAATTATTTGATCCTTTACATCACGCCTTTTTCTGTACTTCTTTGTACATATTTGGTATTTGACCATATTAATATGACTATGACATTTACAGCACATCAAGCATATTCACACGTGTGCTTATGAAGTAAATTGGGTATGTAGATATCACTATGCCCACAATGCAGGAAGTAGAACCCATTTAAATTGCTGGCACAGTTCTGGCACTGACGATTATTTGCCCTATGGAGGATGGGGAGGAGATCAGATGAAAACCAGTATTTCCAGACTCCTGGGCTAATGTCCTGGGCAATGACAATACCAGTGACAGTAATAGCTAATATCTGTTGAATACTTCTAAATGTCTTATACATGTAAAAACTCATTTAATCCTAACAACCCAGGAGGCCAAGGATCAGATGGGCCAATAATGTACATAAAAGTATTAACTGTAAATGTCTGGGCAATTGTGAATTTGGAGAAGCATGGGATCGTGGAAGGGACATTGGATGTCTAGTCCAAAGGCTCAAGTTCAGACGCTGGCTCTCGTGCATTAGAACTGCTGATCTCAAGAAGTTATCTCACTTCTGGGGGACTGTTTTCCAGCTGTAAAATGGGGGGAAGAGTCCCCACCCAACTCAATATATGTAGAAGGGTTATAAACTCTAAAACTTGATACATGCTCAAAGGCCTACTTACTTCAACACACTGCCTTCTGAAATCATGGATACGTAAAAACAAAAAGTTAAAGCTGATTTCACACCTGGTTGCAAAAAACACTTGTGGCAGGTCCTGTATTTATGTACCTTCTATTACTGCAGGTTGTCCAAAGCTAGGAACCAAGTCTTACCTTTATGTTTACTTGTATATGTCAAAGCTAATGCAGGACTATGCCTCTAATGATAGATTTGGAGGTAAAAACAGAGAACTTTTTAAAACACCACCACAGAGTGGTAATTCGCTAAGTCCTACCTTCCAAAATGAAATTTAAGAAAACAGACCTCTGTTATGTGTCTCAAGGTGATTGCCAAACATATATAATTTACTTCCTACGTTGTACCTATTGTTTATTTTCTCTATTATTTCAGGAGGTACAGCATTAAGGGGAAACAACAACAACAACAACAAAACCCACAAAAAAACAAAACAAACAAACAAAAAACAACAGAAACCCCAAACCTGTTAACGAAGAAGCAGGACCTATTCTGGGAAGTAATGACAGTCAATTAGCTGCAGGGTAAAGTGCCAGCTATACCCTGGGGTTTAATAATGCTTGAAAACTATCAATTACCAGTCACTGCGAAGAGGGATAAAATTAAGCTAACAAGATACATTCCATTCCCATAACTTACATACAAAAAAATTAAGAACTTACGGTTACAAAATGCTGCCACCTCCGACCATTGATTGTTACTGAGACAGATCACGGAGTCTGGCTTGCCAGGGACTTTTACAAAGCCTTCATTACATTTGTATGTTACTGTGGTTCGTTCAGGAAAACTCTTAAGATCACGATCACTCAGAGTTGGGTGGGCATTAGGTACCTCTGGGGGCAAGCTGCAGTCACCTAGGGAGGAAAAAAAAAAAAAAAAAGCACTGAAGGAATTAGTACTTTTCAATTCACAGCAACATACCTTTTCCCAGAGGAGTAAGGGAAGCGGCAAGGGCCTTTGATACACATGTAACAGTTCCATCCAGCGCTGAACTTCCAAATTCCATCCAGGAACTTGCTAGGCTGCCATTCTTGTCAATTAATTCAGTGCTAAAATAAGGAAGGAACCCCTTCCCTTCATTATTTTGTTTGTAAAGTGGTTTAGAACACGCATACAGTTGCTAAGCGCACAATGAAGACAGACGCCCCCTCCGGACGTTACTACCCAAAGAAGACGCGCAAACTTGTAGCGTCCCGTGTAGCACCCAACTGTGTAAGAGGTGAGAGTGGTCAACTCTTTGGCCACCCACCCTTAAAGAGATGTTTTGGGGGGGAGGGGAGGCTGAGCATTCACTCTTTGAGCCCTGCCCTTTGGGTTCCCCGTGTTCCGCTGCTCCGCAGACTCAGCCCGCGCTTCCTCAACCGTCCACGCCTCACTCCTAAAGCCACGCGAGCTGGGGGCCGGCACCCCAAGACCCCAAAACTTGCAGTTTAGCAGCGGCGATCCTCTCCCTGTCCCCAAGGGGTCGTGCTAGTGGGAGCTCTGAGCCTCAAGGGTAGAGGATTACGGGAACAATTACCCGTGCCCGCATTCCTCACCTCCCCCGGGTCCCCAGACTTCCCGGTCTCCGCGGAGACGGATCCAGCCCCTCCCACGCGGACTAAGGGTTCACCCAGGGGGGCTGCCCCCCCACCCGGGTCCCCCGCTCACCCTGCGCGGCGGGTGGACACAGCAGCAGCAGCGGCACGCTCAGCCCGCCAAGGAAACGCAGCGCTGCGGGGACGCTCCGCCGCGCGGGACCCATGGCGCGCGGGGACGGGGATCCGGAGCGAGTCCAAGCGGCTCCAGCAAGGAGCCGTAACTAGCAGCAGCGCCCGACGGTTCCGCCGGGCGAGTTAAATTAGCGCCTGGGCGGGGCTGGCGCTCTGAATCACCAAGGGTGGGGCAAAGAGACGGGTGGGGGAGTTTGCTGCACCAGGTGCCGGGCAGGGCGAGGGCGAGGGCGAGGGCGGGGGCTCTCGCGTCACCCGCCCCCAGGGATCCCAGACTTGGAAAGGCGGATAAGGGGCCGGGAGAGGGGCTCGCTTTTTCTCTTTGCTGGGGTGGGGCCTGCGGTGAGCTCCCATCTGCAAATGTAAATATCTGCCTTCCAAGTAAAAAACTGGGGGGAACGGAGGAGAAGCGAGTGGCGTTGGCTTGGTTCCCCAGGAATCTCAGTTAGGTTACCAGGAAAGTAAGCGGTCTTGAGGCGGAAAGGAAGGTGCCTCGGATTCGGAGGTAGCTCTTGGAGGCTGAGAGAGTGCCTGCCCAGGGACCTGGTGCCTTCAACTAGAGGTCTGTCAAATGCCAACCAGAATAGGAAAAAAAAATAAAATAAAATAAGTTGTGTGGTCTCCCAGGACAGTTCCTAATCTGAAAACTGCAAGTGGGAAATGGCCCAAGAAAGGTCGAGCAGCACAGCAAGGAGTGGCCATTGTTCATACTATGCTTGGGCGGGAATCACTTTCCTCGCCAGCGTTCTCATTTACCAAGGACAGCTCATGAATTCCACTTTGGGACGATTTCAGTCCGACTGCTGGGAGAAATTCACCATCCTGCGGGTGTGTGTGTGTGTGTGTGCGCGTGTGTGTTGGGTGGGGAGAAAAATGCCGAAACAGAAACCAAACGCCAGAAAACGAAATGATAGGGTGGTGGTTTTAAGAGGAAAGTTTGTTGGAAGACTTTACGTATATGCCAGTGCTTTGCGATACTAGCTACACATTGGAATCACGTGGGTAGCTTTTAAAAATTCCAGATGCTCAAACTGCACCTCAGACTAGCTAGATTAGAATCTCTGGGGATCGGAAGGGGGCAGCAGGATGATTTAGAGCATTCCAGGTGATTCCACTGGGCAGCAGTTTGAGAAACACAAATCTACATGGTGGTGGTCAGAGTAATGATCCCCCCCGGACTCCCACCCTCACCAGGCCAGCACTGTCCCTGTCAGAAACAGGAAAGGACATTGATGGAAAGGCTGGTTACTCCTCTTCATGGAGAGTAACCCCAAGAACATTTTCCTTTAGTAATTCACCTGGATCTGGTTAGCAGAGGCCTACCCTAGGTTTTCCTATTCCCTCAAATACCTTACCTTGTTAGGTGAAATCCTTGACTTGGAAATGTGCCTTGGTCCGTGGACCAGCTGTGGGGGGGGGGGGGGGGGGGGGGTTATTTGTGGCATCCTGTCATGATACTCTTTCCTAAATGCTTTTGATCACTCTTTTTATGTTAGTACGAGATTTAGAAGAAGGAAAACAACAGTTTCGACAATACCAGTTTCTCTGGCTCATGCTTAGTGTAGTGAACTGGATGAACCCAGTGTCACCCAGTGCTAGAACCAATTGTATGGGCATTCCAGGAAAGGAAGTCCTGTAGTTTTTCACGGAAACCTATCAGTATTAAAACATTCTAGAGTTTAGGGACACCCAGGTGGCTTAGTCAGTTAAGCATCCACTCTTGATCTCTTGGTTTGTGAGTTCAAGCCCTGAGTTGGAGTTAGGTTCTGTCCTGACAATGCAGAGCCTGATTGGGATTCTCCCTTTCACCCTTTCTCTCTGTCCCTCCCCCGCTTCCGCACTCTCTCTCTCGCTCTCTCTCTCTCAAAATAAATAAACTTAAAAAAAAAAAAAAGCACAAACATTGTAGAGTTTAGAAGTTGGGCAGGGACACCTAAAATTATCTACTGTGACCCTCATACTTGATATTAAAACACCTTGGTTTTACTCCCATATGTGAAATAAAAACAAAGTATATCAGGGCCCAGCAGTGTTCTGGAATTCATACCAGATCTTTGTGTATTCTCCCTAAGAGGCTCCCGTGACCTTAACCACCATCCCCTTCTGTCCTACATTTATAGGCAAATTGGTGTGAAAGGCAAGGTGGCATCATGAAGAAGATCTGAAGGTCAAGGCCACTACCTTAAGACCTGTCAGAAAACTTTGAGGCCCGTTAGAACTTTCTGTTTATTAAGTGAATGTAATACCTTTTTATCCAGGAAAACAATGAGCTCTGAAAAGGGTTTTCTAAAAAAGATCTTTAACACCCAGTTTAGCTACACTCACCTTCCAAAATATATTGTTCTCGATAAAAAAGAAAAAAAAAAGGAACTTTTCCAAGAACAACTGGGTAATACTGTGACCACCCAAAATTTCAACATTTTGAGGGCAAAGGGAAAGAAAGGAATCCAGTACCCATTTACTCAATTTAGAAAAAAGATGCTATGAAAACCTATGCATTGAGAAAAATGAAATATGCAATTTGGTAAGTTACAAGGATTCTTTTAAACAATGGCTTCAGGGGTGCCTGGGTGGCTCAGTTGGTTACGCATCCGACTTTGGCCCAGGTCATGATTTCACAGTTCGGGGGTTTTGTGCTGACAGCCTGGAGCCTGCCCCGGATTCTGTGTCTCCCTCTCTCTCTCTCTGTCCCTTCTGCGATAGCACTCTGTCTCTCCCTCTCAAAGATAAACATACCTACATACATACATACATACATAAATAAATAAATAAATAAATAAATAAATAAATAAATAAATGTGTTCCAGATGCTTCATACACATTACCCCATTTTACTAACACCATTTCCAGAAGTGGAAATCATTGTCCACTTTTTCAGATGCTGAAAGGTTAAGTAAGTTTCCAGAATCCATGCAGCCAACAAGTGACCAGGCCTGAATCTACATCCGGTTTGTCTGATTCCAAAACCTATACTTCTCCAGTTCTACCACACAACGTTCTTTTTATTGGGACCAGTTGGCAAAGATTTCTTCTAAAGAGAGAACGCTGAATTAAGACCTTTGGGAGGTGCTTAGGGAATCCAGCTGCTTCTGGTGTCAACAGTTGACTCAAGTCTTCAGAACTGATCTTCCTGAAACTAGCTGTGTGTTCTCAATGAGTCACTCTGCCCCTTAAGGCCTCATTCCCACTTTGACTTAGAAAGAGCATGGAGTGGAAATGAAATAGTCTCTGCAGAGCTTTCCAATTCCAAAATGGTAGGTTTGTGTCAGTAGGTCGACAACATTTTTAAAAAATAGCACGTAAGTCTATGACTTTGGCAGAGGTTAGGGAACATGGCTGTCACTCTGTCCCAGAAACCATACAATGACTAAATCAAAGACGTTTAGTAAACTGAGGTGCACGTAGTATTCCGAAGCGCATTAAGAAAGTGCCAAAACTTGTGTTCATGACTCTGTGATCTACAACGGAGGTGTTATGGGACAAGTGCTATGAGAATGCCAGAGCCGGTATAGTGGGGGGCGGGATCAAAAAGAGAGAAAAGACCATGGCCAAAAGGGTGGAGGAGGCCAACGGCCTAGTGATTCAGCTAAATATGACGAATGAATATCATCAGTGCAATGGGGAAAAAATATGAGAGGTGATAAGTATGGTATGAGCACATGTTTGCAGTCAGAACAAGGTTAGTTGCTTCCAAGAACAGTAAGGTTACAGAGAAGATGGGGGAGTGAACTACAACCATGGAGGAAGTGGTGAAGAGGGCAAGAGATGGTCTGGCAAGAGACGTGGGAGCCTTAAACACAAGGCTTCTTCCTCTTCTGCTACTCAGAAGCGTTGATGGACTGTTGAACATCTTCAGCAGAGAAGTCCAAGGACAGGTTGGACGTCGTGTGCAAGATGCCGCAGCAAAGGTGACCGTGAGCAAAGACCCAATTTTACTATCTATGCAATAGTTCAGGCTGTTAAGATTGGAGAATAGAAATGTCTTTTCGTCTTCAAACTAATAAATCTATAATGACGAAATAGCCTTGTTACTCTATAAAACCCCTGACACGATTACTATAGCCATGGAAGTGTCTGCGTCTGTTCTGATCAAAGAAGTTTCAAAGGAAGAACTCACAGAATTCGGTGACTGATTAGATAAGGAACAAGTGGGGGAGAAAGTGTTCAAGATGACTCAGAAGTTTGGTGTCTGTGAGACCAGGGGCCCTGTTTAGAAGAACTATCCATTCCAAAGTCAAGGGAAGGATTTAGGGAAGGAATAGCAAATTTGGCCGCACACTTGTTGAATTTAAAATGCTTGGCAGGTGTCTGTGTGCAGATGCACAGCATGGGATGACACGTGGGCAGACTCAGTTGGAGCCTGGATGAGATACGGCTACAGGCAGGGTGACCAACAGAGACAGTGTAAACCAAAACTCAAAGAGGCCCAAAGGGTGAGCCTTGGGTACTCCCCACAACCACACTGAACTGAGTTCAGACAATAAAGCAGAAGGAGAGGGTAGTGGAAAAGGAAGGAGGGTAGTGCAATTTCCTTAAAGCCCAGGGATATGAAATAGTGAGCCAAATGTTATCATTCCAGTTATAGGTGAGGCAACTTGTGTTTAGGGAAGTTAAGTAACTAGCCCCAAACCACAGGGTTTGTGGAGGTGGAGCTAGGCTTAAGATCTTACCCCTTCTGGTACATTGCTCAGGCATCGCCTCCTCCAGGAAGCCTCCCTGCTTACGACATCAGACCCTGTCCCTTCCTCTACCCTCCCAAAGTACTCTATGCGTCCGTCAGTCTTCCAGTCTAAGACATCCGTCTGTTTCATACTCGCGTTCAGAGCTCAGCCTAGAATTATTCCCAACTAATCTTGACATGGCCAAGGAAAAACAAACAAACAAAAAAAACTTTTAACCGAGGTATGTTTGCAAATGAGGGCAGTTGTACTTTGCAGAATAAGTGTGGTGTACTTTTGAAAAACAAATTAGCAGACTCCTATTTTTCGTAAGGAAAGTTTAATTCTCCAGGAATTCACTAATCAAGTTATCAGTGTACTTCATCAAATACAGTATTTTTTTTTCCTCACGAGGTAAAGGGGTAGCGGGACCTAGTAAA